GGCCGGGGCCGGGCCCCACACGTCCCCTCCTCCGGGAAGCGGGAGGGAGGGAAGGCCCTCCGGGACGCGGCCTCTCCCTGAGCGCAGCCAGGCCGCCGAGCGCTGGGCTCCCTGGCAGGACCCCCCTCCCCCGCCCCGCATCCCTCGCTCTTTCGGGACGCCCCGGATCGCGGACTCGCGGACGGGGAGGCGGGGTTGCGGCTGTCCGGCCGCCGCGAGTGCACGGGCGCCGGGAAGGGCGGAAGGCGGGTGTCCGGAGGGGCCCCCCATCGGTGCCCGGGGCGGGTGGGGGTCATCCGAGGGGCCTCAGGAGGCCGAGTGGGGACTCTATGGCTGAGGGGGGCTGGACGGGACGGGCAGGCTGCTTTCCTTCTGCCTGGTCCTCCGAGGCTTCTCTTCCCTCCTCCCGCTCCTGGGTAGGTCCCCCCCCCCCCGACTCCCCCAGCGTGGGGGCTGGCGGCGCCGCCCCGCTTCCGAGGACGCCTGCCAGCGCCTGTCATTCTGCCCTGGGGTAAACTGGCCCGGTGAACCCCGCCCCCTCAGGCTCCCACCCCCCTGTGGTTCTGATTAAAGGATAAACAACTGTTTTTTTTGGCGGGGAGCGGGGGGGGGGGGGGAAGCTCAGCACCTCAGCTGCTGGAGTTAGTCCACCATGATTCTCGTTTAACGAAGCAAGTTTTTAATAAAACCTCATCCAGACCTGGGTACCCTAGCAGTTCTCTTGCCTTCTGAGTAGCTGGAATTACAAGCATTACCCACAATGCCTGATTAAGAAGAAACTTGGTGAAAAGACTTAGTCTGGGTCTTTGAATGTGTTGTCTGAGGTCAGTGTGTGCTGTCTCACAGCAGAGTTGCCATTAACCAGATGAGGTTTGGGCTGGGTGGAGTGGCTCACAGGGAAATCCCTAGCTACTCCGGAAGCAGATTTCTGGAGGGTTGTAGGACCAGGCCAGTCTTGGCAAAAAGTTAGCAAGACCTCATCTCAAGGAGCAGTGCTTATGTGTGGGGGTGTTGTATTCCATCATCCCAGCCAGGAGGGAGATGTGAATAAAAGGGTCTCAGTCTAAGTCAGCCCAGACAAGGAAAGCAAGGCCCTATCTGGAAAATAAAGCAAAAAGGATTAGAGTCATGGTTCAAGTGGTAGACCATCTGTCTGCAATAATGAAACCCTGGATTCTAAAAAACAAACCATTAACCATTATTCCTCCCCCTATAAAAGAAAGAACAGTTAAAAATCTTTGTCCAGGCACCTATGGCTCATGCATGTAACTCTAGCTACGCAAGAGCAACATGGTTCCAAGCCAGCCTGGATAGAAAATCTTTGAGAGTCTTTTTTTTTTTTTTTTGGCCAGTCCTAAGGCTTGAATTCAGGGCCTGGGTGCTGTCCCTGAGCTTCTTTTGCTCAAGGCTAACACTTTACAACTTGAGCCACAGTGCCACTTCCGGCTTTTTCTGTGTATATGGTACTGAGGAATGGAACCCAGGGCTTCATGCATGCTAGGCAAGCACTCTACCACTGAGCCACCTTCCCAGCCCCCACATAGTGAATTCTAACAAAACTGGACTAGAGCCTGGTGAGGGGGTACACTCCTGGGATGCTGGCATTGGGGAGCCTGAGGCATCAGGATTGCCAGACCTCTGCTATATGGTGAGACCCTGCCACCTGGGCTCAAAGCCACACACACAACAGCCACCAGGTCCTGGGTCAGAACAATGCACCCTTACAATTTCGGGGACGTTTTCCTTTCATTTGTCCAGCAGGTATTTGTGCTAGGCCTCCTTTGGGCTCTGGGGATTAGTGATGACTAAACACTCCCTGCCCACTGGGTGTTGAGGTTTGGGTGAGAGAGACAGACGGACGATAAATGTGGTGGCCTTGATGTAAGAACTGGAGTGAGACCTGAGAGCAGGGCTGGCGTTGGTACATAGCCCTTTCGGGGAGCAGCTGCAAGGGGGGCTTTGTTTGTAGGACTGACATTTGAGCAGGCCTGAATGGGTGGGGTGGTGAGACTCATCCAGGGCACAGGGTCAGCGGCAGAGAAAGCCCCAGCTGCGGGACCAGCCGTTTTTGCAGTCTCTCCAAAGTGTAGTTGAGGCTGGGATGCAGGGCAGTGCCATGCTGCCGCTTGATGCCCAGCTCCTCCCTCTCTTAGGTCATAATGGATCCCTCCTCCTCCCCTTCCTCCTTGGCATTCTTTTTAAAAACCAACCAACCAACCCGGGCTGGGAAGGTGGCTCAGCGGTAGAGTGCTTGCCCTGCATGCATGAGGCCCTGGGTTCGATTCCTCAGCACCACTTAAGCAGAAAAACCTGGAAGTGGCACTGTGGCTCACATGGTAGAGCCCTATTAAGCTGAAGAGCTGAGGGACAGCGCCCAGGTTGTTCAGCCCCATGACCAAAAAAACAAAAACAAAACCTATCCTGGGGGCCTGGTAGGGTGGCTCAGTGGTAGAGTGCTAGCTTTGAGCTGAAGAGCTAAGGGACAGTGCCGAGGACCAGAGTTCAAACTCCACGACTGACAAAAAAAACCATGGGGCTTGAGCTTCTTTTGCTCAAGGCTAGCTCTTTACTGGAGCCACAGCACCACTTCTGGCTTTTTCTGTGTACGTGGTACTAAGGAATTGAATCCAGGGCCTCATGCGTGCAAGGCAAGCGCTCTACCACTGAGCCACCTTCCCAGCCCCCTCCTTGGCATTCTAACAGTGCTGCTAGTCATTGTGTCCAGTTTTGTTGTCTTTCCTCTTCTCGGCCTGTCAAGGGATCAGTGTACCTGAAATTGCTCTGGGAGCCTTGGTACCTGTAATCTCAGCCCTTATAATGAAGTGCCTTGAAAAGTGTCTTTGTAGGCTGGGGGCCAATGGCTCATGCCTGTAATCCTAGCTACTCAGGAGGCTGAGATCTGAGGATCGATCTGAGGATTGTGGTTCAGAGCTAGCCCAGGCAGCAAAATCCATAAGATTCTTTTTTGTTTTGTTTTGTTTTTTGTTTTTTTTTTGGTAGGTTGTGGGGCTTGAACTCTGGGCCTGGGCGCTGTCCCTCAGCTCTTCAGCTCAAGGCGAGCGCTCTACCACTTGAGCCACAGCGCCACTTCCCATAAGATTCTTATCTCCTGTTAAATACCAAAAGAAAAAAACAGCCAGAAATGGAACTGTGGCTCACGTGGTAGAGCACCAGCCTTTGTAGGATTGTAACTCAGAGCCTGTGAACAGGAAAAAGCATGATCTGTGGGGTTCGGGGCTGGCAACGAGAACCCCTGGGTCAGGCCAACGGTTTGATTCTTCTCTCTAATCTGAACCCAGCAGTTTGTCCTGCCTAGCTTCTCTTGAAAGCTGTTTGGAAGGGATGAATATGCTGCTGCTCCGAGTCGGCCCGCTCTCACCCACCCAGGAAGAGGTCCGGTCAGGGGCCTCCAGGGTGTTTGCCATCCCAGGCACTGGCCTGGCGTGTGCCGTCTCTGCAGATCCTGAGCCGCCCTGCACAGTGTACCAAAGCCGTTGCGTTGGGCTGGGCTGGTGGAGGGATTCTGGTTTTCCCCTCACACAGGAATCCTACGGCTAGAGGATGTGCAGGCCATTTCTGCTGCCTGTCAGCCAGTTTTCCTTAACTACCCCATTTCTTCTGGCACCCCACTTTCTGTGCACACTTGCAGTCATCTCTTGTCTTTCAGGCCCCCTGGCTTAGGCTCTCCTTTCCCACATCAGTCACTGAGTGTGGGTGTGTCGAGTATGTGTGTGCACACCTCCCGCTTCACCTTCTCGAGCATACTTCCTTGTGTGAACCTCAGGCCTTACGCATGCTAAGCACACGCCTTGTTCCCAGCCCCAACTTGGTTGGTTGTTTGTGGCAGTACTGGGGCTTAAACTCAAAAATTTACTCAACTTTTTCGGTTTCATAGCTGGTGCTCTATCATTTTACCCATACCTTTAAATTTTTGTTGTTTATTTAGCTCTGAGTCTCTTAGGCCAGGTGCTGATGGCCCACGCCTGTCATCCTAACTACTCAGGAGGTTGAGATCTAGGATCACAGTTCAAAACCAGTCCAGGCAGGAAAGCCCGAGACTCTTACTTCCAACTAGCCACCAGAAAACTGGAAGTGGCGCTGTGGTTCAAGTGGTAGAGCGCTAGCCTTGAATGAAAAAGCTCAGGGACAGTGCTCAGGCCCAGAGTTTGAACCCCAGGATCACAAAAAAAAAAAAAAGCCACAGAAGAGTAAATGCTTCTACGGAAGGAAATGTCCTTCAGAAATTCAGGTAGACATCTGTATTAGCAACCGGTGTTCTGTTCTCTCTGTCTCTGTCTGTCTGTCTCTCTCTTCCAGGTTCTAGGGCTTGAAGTCAGGGCCTGGACGCTGTCCCTCAGCTGCTTTTTGCTCAAGGTTAGCTCTACCACTTGAGCCACAGCACCACTTCCAGCTTTTTCTGTTTCTATGGTGCTGAGGAATTGAACCCAGGGCTTTGTGCATGCTAGGCGAGCGCTGCGGCTAAGCCGCCTTCCCAGCTAGTGTCCTGACCTTACGGCGCATAGTGCTTGCTTCTCCATGCTCAAGATGGTTTAGAAAGCTCCGCCACACCCTGCCCGTCAGATGCTTCCTATCTCAGTGTATCTCAGGCCATCCCTTGAACTTGCTGTGCAGCCCCGGCCGGCCTGGGACTTGAGCTCCTCCTGCCTCAGCCTCCAGCGCCAGGGCTAGACACAGCCACTGCACCCCGCTTGGACGCTTGTTCATTCCTCACTGAGGGGCGGCAGCCTGAGGGTCTCCGCTTTCATTTCCTGAAAGCTGGACAGCTGTCTGCTTTGTGGCCCGACAGGGCTCCGCGAGCCAGGCTTCTGAGCGTGGCCGTGTGGGGGGCGCTGGATCCCTGCCCGCTGGCAGGGATTGCACTCGTCCGTGGCGTGTGAGCCCCGCCGTGCCTGCCTTCCCTTCGGCTTGCGCACGGCTGTGCTGACCCGAGTCCTGGGAGCACGAGGCTTTTCCTGCCCCTCTCTTTCCCGTAGACTTTGCAGGACCACAGAGTAAAGCACGTCATAGGTGAGGCAGCGGTCTCCACCAGGACCTCCTGCAGACCTGACATGGCGGGCACTGCGTGTCGGTTAGCTTTGCATCACGTCTGAGATGGTCACTTACTTGGAAGGAAAGTGTACTGGGCTCGGGGCTGTAGAGATTTCTGGCCAAGATCACAATTCCTCTCAAGGCTGATCGCCTCAGCCGTGGCCAGGAAGAGGCCTGGGTCCAAGGACCTCTTCAGAGGCCATGACCACTTCCCTCCCGTGAGGCCTGACCTCCCGCAGGCCCCGCACCTCCCTCTAGCCGTGTGGGTCTTTGTGGGACCCTGCAGATCCAAATTTGTGTTAAAATCTTAGCTAGGCAAGGACTGGGAAGTTGGGTCAGTGGTAGAGCGCTTGCCTTGCATGCCTGAGGCCCTGGGTTCGATTCCTCAGCACCACATAAGCAAAAAGGAAAAAGCCGGAAGTGGTACTGGGCTCAAGTGGTAGAGCGCTAGCCTTGAGCTGAAAAGCTGAGGGACAGCGCCCAGGCCTAGAGTTCAGGCCCCACGACCGGACCCAAAAAAAAAAAAAATCTTAGCTAGGCAGCTACTCAGGAGTCTGAGAGCAGAGAATTGTAGTTCAAAGCCAGCCCAGGTAGGAAAGTCCATGAGACTACCTCCAGTGAGCCACCAGAAAACCAGAAGTGGCGCTGTGGCCCAAGTGGCAGAGCACCAGCCTTGAGCACAAAAGCCGTGCCCAGGCCCCTGGAGGGCAGTGCCCAGGCGCTGAGTTCCAGTCCTAGGACTGGCTCACTTGCAAAATCTTACAAAGATGCAACTCGAGGACTACGTTGGTGCAGGGCACCGCCGGGTGGTACTGGGCAGATGTGTCCTCCAGGAGGTGAATGCCGCCGGGAGACCGGGGCCTTGTGTGTGACGGGCAGGGGTCATTTGCGTGAAAGGCACTTGGGATGGAATCTGCACCGCTCCCGATCTTGTGACAGGGCGCTTGTGTCAGCCGCGGCAGTGACAGCAGTGAGGTGCATCACAGGACATCAGCTAACTCCCTCCATCTGCGTGGGCACTGAGCCACACGCCTCAGCCCTGGGTGGGCCCCACTTGGCACCAGCTGCTTTTTACCCCCGTCTTCTCCCTCCAGTGTGCCCTTTCCCCTATGACTGGCCAGCTCCCAATTGGTGCCATTTTTAGCTTTTCTGCCTGGCCTACTGTTAGACTGCCACGAGCAGGCCACGCAGGCCACGGTCCCTGCCTTCGAGCCCTGAGCAGGGCACCGGGAAGGCACACGCCCAGCCTGCTGCCTTTCCACCCTTCCCCTGCACTCAGCTTCAGCTTGCTGTCCTACAGCGCCCCCTCCTGGCATGCTTGCGTCTTTCAGACACTGGTCTCAGGAAGCTTCTATTCTGCCTGCTTTATTTTGGTTAGGTTTATTTGGTTTGTTGTTTTGTGCTATTATTGGGACTTGAACGCTGAACCTTGTTCTCTCAATTGGGTTTCTTGCTCATGGCTGGTACTTCACCCCTGGAGCCATGCATATCTCCAGTGCTAGCTGTGTGTGTGTCTGTGTGTGTGTACGCGCCGTGCACGCATGTGTGTGCGCTTGGGGCTTGAACTCAGGGCCTGGGCACTGTCACTGAGCCTCTTTGTGCTCTACCACTTGAGCCACAGCACAACATCTTGCTTTTTCTGAATTAGTTTATTGGAGGTAAGAGCCTTATGGACTTTGCTGTCTGAGCTGGCTTTAACTGTGACCCTCAGATCTCAGCCGCCTGGCCTAGTTTTGGCTTTTTGAGAGTTAGTTGGAGATCAGAGTCTCACTCCCTTCAGGCTGTGGCCCTTGGATCCCAGGCTGCTGCGTACGTAGCATTTAGGTGTAAGTAGTGATGAAAGTCTGAGCCACCAGTGCCAGGCTGGTTTGGAGTTTTTGAGATGGGTCTCTCCAGGCTGGCCTGGAACTTAGGTTGTCCTGCATCTGGGCGGCCCAGTCCCTCTGTGACATCCCCAGCCATTCCTCACTGTTAACCCTCGGTCCAGAATCATTTCCAGCACCAGGGGGCAGACTCACTGTCTCCTCCCTCTGCAACCTGGTTTGCGGTATTTTTGATCATTTGAACTTGAGCTTGCTTGCTAGGTACTCTGCCACTTTCCGGTTGGGTCTACTGTGTGTCTGGGGACGGCCTCAGCCATGACCCTTTTCCTAGCTGGGCCGTGGGCACACCACGGGGCCTGACTGGTTCATTGAAAAGGGGGTCTCTATCTTTGTCTTGGCCTCAAATCTCCATCCTCCTGATCGCCATGTTGCTGGGATACAAGTCTGAGTGTCCCTCTGGTGGACATAGCCCATAGGACGCCACTCCTGTGGTGTCATGCTTGCCAGCTTTCTCTACCGTGGACACCTCGTGCTTGGCCTGACCCCACCCCCCCACCCCAGCAGTGGGGCCTGTGGCATGCGACCTGCAGGGGGCATGAGTACAGAATTGCAGCCTGGGGAGGCCGGGCGGCAACTGGGAGCGTGGCTGGGGAGCAGAGGGGTGGCAAGGAGCCCCAAAGGACACGCCCCCCGCTCCATGCTCTCCTGGTTTCCAGAACCTCCCAGACAGCGCCACCAGCTGCAGGCCAGGTGTGCACACAGGAGCCTTTGAGGGACACTGGATTGGCTGCTGGGGGCCTTCTGCAGGGGGGTGTGGCGGGCTGGGCTTGCTGTCCTGGCCAGCCTCCCTCGTTCCTTCCCTCCCTCCCTCCCTCTGGGATGCGGCCCCCCTCCAGCTGGAAGTGTGGGCCTCTGAGCTCCCCGTGGCTTCTGGGGGCCTTTCCTTGTTCCCCCAGTCTTGCCAGCCCCTCACTTGCCTGTGGAGCCGCCGGGCAGCGGCCAGCATTAACCCCTTCCTTTCCTTCTCTTGCAGTGGCTGATATCCCAGCAGGTATCCTTTCCAAGTCCCGGCGCGGGGCCCTCGCTCTTTATGTGTTTGTTTGTTTGTTTGTCGGCCGTGGGACTGAACTCGGGGCCTGGGCGCTGTCCCTCAGCTCTTCAGCTCAAGGCGAGCGCTCTACCGCTCGAGCCCCAGCGCCACTTCCAGCTCTATCTGCTTATGTGGTGCTGAGGAATCGAACCCAGGCTCAAGCATAGGAGGCGAGCACTCTACCACTGAGCCACCTTCCCAGTGTCCCCCCCTTCCCAAGCGCACCCCAGTCCTGTTCTGTTGTTTCCTATTTGACTACAAAGGATGTGTTCGCAACTTGCTGCTTCCCACCGTCTGCCGCCCGCCCCTCCAGGCCACCCCTCCTGCCCTCCCCTGTGCCTGTCCTGCCCTGTCCCCCCGGCTCCGAGGGTCACAGCTCGGTCTCCTTAACCACTGCCCCAGATCCCACAGTTCGAAGACGTCAAGTTCGAGGCAGCGAGTCTGCTGTCGGAGCTGTACTGTCAGGAGGTAAGCGCAGCCAGCCCCTGGCAGCTGGCCAGGCACACCGGAGCTGCTGCCGAGAGGGGCCCGGAGGCTCTGGACCCCACAGCCAGGCCTGCGGGTGCCCAAGGCCTGCTGGGAAATGCACAGTCTGGGCATGGCGGCGGGGCCCCTGGCGTGGTTTACTTATGTAGGGGGCGGGGCAGGGGTGCACCCAGCACAGATGCGGTTTTCCTTTCAGCACTTTTGAGGTGCCCAGGGTGGAGCCTAGAGCCTCTGCACTGCGCGCCCCCCCAGCCCCAGGGTTTGCCTGGGAGCTGACTGCCTCCCACCCACGGCTTTCGAGAATAATCTCATCCCAGGGTGGAGCCAGCCTGAGAACCCGGGCTGGCAGCAGGAGCGGGAGGAGGCAGTTGCAGGCCAGCCTGGGGTGACACAGTAAGAACCTGTCCACCCCCCAAACAAAAAAAGAAAAGGGAACTAGACAGGTGAAGGCACCCCGGACTCTGCACCCCTGTGCCCCACCACCACCAGCGCTGCCGTCTTGCTTAACACCTTCGGGAGCGTGAAGCTGCTTTGGGTCGCTTGAGTGAGGAGTTGGTTTCGTGTTGTGGAGCAGGGCTCGCGTCAGCCCGGGCCCCCGGCGCTCGGCTGGCTTGCCTGCCTGGCGCCCTAGCAGCCGAACCTGGGAGAGTTGTGCCTGAGCTGGCTTCAAACCTCGGTTCTCTAGATGGCAGCCTTGTAGGTGCTGGGATACAGGTATGAGCCACGGGTACCTGGCTATGGAAATAAAGTGATTCAGAAGCTTCCCAGCCGAGCGCTAGTGGCTCAAGCCTGTCGTTCTAGCTACTCAGGAGGCTGAGATCTGAGGATTGCCGTTCAAAGCCGGGCCAGGCCGGAAAGTCCCTGAGACTCTGATCTCCAATAAACTACCAGAAAACCAGAAGTGGCACTGTGGCTCAAGTGGTAGAGCACTCGCCTTGAGTTGAAGAGCTCAGGGAACAGCTCGCAGGCCCAGAGTTCAAGCCCCACGATCGACAACAAAATAAAAATAAGAAATCGTTTCCCGGCAGTGAGCCCAATAAATCACTTAGTTCTTTCTCTCCCCCTCTCTCTTTTTTCTCTCTTTTGGCTCATACTGGAGTTTGAACTCAGGGCCATGTGTTTGCTGTGCAGGTGCTTTACTGTTTAAGATGTATCCTCAGCTTTTGTTTTTATTTTTGTTTTTTGCTCTTTTTTCTTGGTCAGTCCTGGGGCTTGAACTCTGGGCCTAGGCGCTGTCCCTCAGCTCTTCAGCATAAGGCAAGCACTCTACCACTTGAGCAACATCGCCACTTCCAGCTTTTTCTGGTGGTTCATTGGAGATAAGAATCTCGTGGAGGGGCTGGGAAAGTGGCTCAGTGATAGAGTGCTTGCTTTGTATGCATGAGGCCCTGGGTTTGATTCCCCAGCACCACATAAGCAGAAAAAGCTGGAAGTGGCGCTGTGGCTCAAGTGGTAGAGCGCTCGCCTTGAGCTGAAGAGCTGAGGGACAGAGCCCAGGCCCAGAGTTCAGGCCCCACAAACAGCAAAAAAGAAAAAAAAAAGAATCTCATGGGGACTTTGCTGCCCAGGCTAGCTTTGAACTGTGATCCTCAGAAGTTCAATCTTCTGAGTAGCTATTGGAGAGGCATTGGTGCCCGGCTGGGAGTCAATGTTTTGTTTTATTGGTCGTGGGGCTTGAACTCCGGGGCCTGGGTGCTGTCCCTGTGCTCTTCAGCTCAAGGCAAGTGCTCTTACCGCTTGAGCCACTGTGCCACTTCTGGTTTTCTAGTGGTTTATTGGAGATAAGAGTCTCACGGATGTTCCTGCCCAGGCTGGCTTTGAACCATGATCCTCAGATCTCATCCTCCCGAGTAGCTAGGATTATAGGCATGAGCCACCAGCGCCCGGCTAGGAGTCAGCTTTTTGTTGGGCTGCCTGCCCTCTGTCCTCCCATCCACGCTTCCCACCACGCTGCAGTGGGAGGCATGTGCCGACATGCTCTAGGTGGTCTTCTAGGTGATCTGGCTGGGGCACGGCTATCCTTTGGATCTCAGCCGCCTTTATTTTCCTTTCTAAATAAGTGGCATGTGACAAGCCACCTGTGGTGGTAGGGGCGGTGTTCAGGCAGGGAACTTGATGGCTGGCTGCTTGTTCCTCCTTGAATGTGATGGTTCCTTCCAGAATTCCGTGGATGCGGCGAAACCACTGCTGAGGAAAGCAATCCAGATCTCGCAGCAGACTCCCTACTGGCATTGCCGCCTGCTCTTCCAGCTTGCTGTGAGTACTGGGGGTCCCCGGGGCCCCTCAGCCTGCCACAGGCAGTGGGCAGTGGGACTGCAGCCCCTGCCCCAGCAGCAGCCCTAGCTGGAGCTTGGCTCTGGGGAGCGGGTGGGAGAGTGTTCCACGGCCCTCGAGGGCTGGCTGCGCCCCTAGAGCCACCACTTGGGAGTCCAGGAAGCCTTCAGAATCATGTGCGGGCGCTGCTGCGCGTGCGTGCCCCAGCCAGCGCAGAGGCAGCGGTGACCGTGGGGCAGGGAGGCGGCTCGGGGTGCATGGGTTTGGGCCACTTCACTGCTTCCTTTTCAGCAACTGCACACGCTTGAGAAGGACCTGGTGTCGGCCTGCGACCTCCTGGGCGTGGGGGCCGAGTATGCCCGCGTGGTGGGATCTGAGTATACACGGTGTGTACCTTTGCCCGCGTGCGCGCGCACGCACCTTGACAGCGATGGTAGCTTAGCACAGGGCGCAGATCCGGGCCTCCTCGAGGGGCTGCGCACGCTGCCTGACGCCGTGGCTGAGCTGGGGTCCTGGCAGGAGTGTGGGCCCCGGGAGGCCAAAACCAGACTTGCCCAAATAGTGTGGGACAGAGGGGCGCAGCTGTCTGTCCTTCCGCGGATCCTGGGGGACAGGGCCCAGCTCACAGACAGGGCGGTGAGGCGTTTGGCGCCCACATCTGACCCCAGGCCCTCGGCCGAGGGCGCCAAGGTGGTGACAGGGCGTTCAGACGGTGACGTGTGCTGGGACCCAGTGCTCAGAAGACAGGAGCCCTGTGAGTTCTAGGCTAGCCTGACTTGCACAGCAAGGCCTGGTCTCAAAACAACAGCACGACAGGACAGGATGCAGCAGCACCAGAAGTCAGACAGGGACTCGCGCGTCGCCTGCCCGCCTGTGCTCGGGCCGGGCCCCGCAGGCCTGACCCCCCTCTCTCTCTGTTGCAGGGCGCTGTTCCTGCTCAGCAAGGGGATGGTAAGTGAAACTGGGCTGGGGGTGCTGGGGTGCGGGGGCCGGGAGGAGAGTCTCAAGTCTGTCTGCCCCCTCCTCCCCCCTCCCCAGCTGTTGCTGATGGAGCGCAAGCTGCAGGAGGTGCACCCGCTGCTGACGCTGTGCGGGCAGATCGTGGAGACCTGGCAGGGAAACCCCATCCAGAAGGAGTCGCTGCGTGTCTTCTTCCTGGTGCTGCAGGTCACCCACTACCTGGACGCCGGGCAGGTGCGTGGCTGTGCCGTGCCCACCCTACCCTCAGGACAGCTGCCCGCTCAGACTTGGGGGGAGGCCAAGTAGTTCTCAGCCAGTGTCTGGTGGCCTTTCCCAGGTGCCAGCAGGAGGGGCCTGGAGATGGGCGGGGCCTAATGAGATGGGCGTGGTCTGTGTGAGGGGTGGGGCCAGGCGCCCTGGTCTCTTGCTCAGGCGCCTCTTCCCCCTCTGGCAGGTGAAGAGTGTGAAGCCATGCCTGAAGCAGCTGCAGCAGTGCATCCAGACCATCTCCACGCTGCATGACGACGAGATCTTGCCCAGCAACCCCGCCGACCTCTTCCACTGGCTGCCCAAGGAACACATGTGTGTGCTCGTCTACCTGGTGAGTCCCGTGAGGCAGCCCCGGGCCCGGCCTGAGGGAGCGGCCCGCTGACCTTGCCTGTCTCCCGCCAGGTGACAGTGATGCACTCCATGCAGGCTGGCTACTTGGAGAAGGCACAGAAGTACACGGACAAGGCGCTCATGCAGCTGGAGAAGCTCAAGAGTGAGTGTGGCAGGGCTGTGCACGGGCCGTGCTCCTGCGAGCGCGTGTGCGTGCGCGTGCAGGGGAGTGCTGGCCACCTGCAGCGGGTCCTTTTTTTTTTTCTTCTTCTTTTGGTGCCAGTCCTGAGACTGGAACTCATAGCCTGGACCCTGTCTCTGACCAGTTTTTCGCAAGGCTACTGCTCTATGCTTTGACGGCTTAATTTTCAGCTTTTTCCTGCTTAAGTGGAGATAAGAGTCTCCCTGGGACTTTTTTGCCTCAGCTGGCTTCCAACTGCCATCCTCAGATTTCCGCCTCCTGAGTGGCCAGGATTCCAGGTGTGAGCCACCGGTGCCCAGCTTTTTCCAGCTTTTTGTTGTTTAGCTGGGTTTGAGAGTCTCAGGGATTTTTCTGCCCAGGCTGACTCCCAGCCTCCTTCCAGATTTCAGTCTCCTGAGTAGCTGGGAGATTACAGGGGTGAGCCACTTGTGCCCAGCAGGCAACTGTCCCCCTCCTCACTCCCCCCTCCTGTGCGGCCGGGACTGTAAGCAGGGGGAAAGGAAGCGCAGCTCCAAGTTGCTGCTTTGTCTTTCTCTTTTGTTACTGGAGCTCCAGCCCAGTGTCTGTGTGCGCCAAGTGCGTGTTCCTCCCCTGAGCACCCCACCAAGAGTCTCCCCTTAACCACCCATGCTTGAGCTCCGTCCTCCCCCTGCCCTGTGCTCACTCCCAACTTGCCCCCCAGTGCTGGACTGCAGCCCCATCCTGTCCTCGTTCCAAGTGATCCTGCTGGAGCACATCATCATGTGCCGGCTCGTCACAGGTCACAAGGCCACGGCGCTGCAGGAGGTGAGCCCGGCCGGGGTGGGGGCTCTCGTCCCTCCCCAAGTCCCCAGCTGGCCAGGCCCTGTTCTCTGGTGTCCCGCCCCCGCCCCCCTTCCTTGGAGGGGCCGAGTAGGGCGGGCGGGCGGAGGGGAGGAGGCACGTCGGGCCTGGGCCTGGAGGGTCACCATCCACAGGGAGGAGGTCTTGGCCGCACGAGGCTTCTGCCATGGGGTGGGGCTCCCAGCCAGGGCCCTGACTGCCTGCCCCTCCCCCAGATCTCCCAGGTCTGCCAGCTGTGCCAGCAGTCACCCCGGCTCTTCTCCAACCACGCGGCACAGCTGCACACGCTGCTGGTGAGCGCTGGGGTGGGAAGGGGTCTGCAGTGGGCCTTGTGCAGGGGGGCGGGGGGGCTCGGAGCCAGCCCCCGCGTCCCTGAGCGCGGGCCCCTGACGGCGCCCTGTCTTCGCAGGGCCTGTACTGCGTCTCTGTGAACTGCATGGACAATGCGGAGGCCCAGTTCACCACGGCGCTGCGGGTGAGGCCGCCGGGCCGGCTGGGCCAGTGGCGGGACTCGGCCCACGGTGCCATTGGTAGCATGAGGACAGACCTTGGCCATGGCCTTCCAGCCCCCACGTGCTGGGCGAGGGTGGGAGGAGCTCGCGGAGGAGGGGCCTGGGCGTCTCAGCACCCTGTGTCCCCCTCGGGACGGGAGGCTGTGGACACCTTGCTCCTGAGAGATTGGCATTTGGGTGAGGGCCGGGCTCCCTTCCAGATACACCTCCAGCCCCTGGCATCGCCCCAACCCCTGCCCCTTGCTTCCTGCCCACTACGCCCTTCCCTCTCACTGTACTTCCCAAATTTGGCCGCTGTAGGAGCAGGTGGTCCATCATCAGAGCCCAAAGCCGGTGCCCTGAGCGCCTACCAGCACAGGTGGCCCCTGTGCCCCAGGACAGGTCTCTGGTGTTGAGCGTCTCCGGTCCTGAGGACACGCGGGCTCCCCATGCACGGGCCCTGCAGGGAGTGCTTGCTCACTTAGATCCGCCCCTCCGTCTTTTTTTTTGGGGGGGGGGTTGGTCATGGGGCCTGAGCTCTGGGCCTGGGCGCTGTCCCTCAGCTCTTCAGCTCAAGGCGAGCGCTCTACCACTTGAGCCACAGCACCACCACTTCTGGTTTTCTGGTAGTTTGTTGGAGATGAGTCTCATGGACTTTCCTGCCCGGGCTGGCTTTGAACCGCGATTCTCAGATCTCAGCCTTCTGAGTAGCTAGGGTGACGGGTGTAAGCCACCGGGACTGGCTCCTCCGTCTATCTTGTTCCTCAAGAAGGACTGGGGGGGCTGGGAAGGTGGCTCAGTGGTAGAGCACTTGTCTTGCATGCATGAGGCCCTGGGTTCAACTCCTCAGGACCACATAAGCAGGAAAAAAGCTGGAAGTGGCGCCATGGATCAACCTTGAGCTGAAGAGCTGAGGGACAGCGCCCAGGCCGAGTTCAGGCCCCAGGCCTGACAAAAAATAAAAATAAAAAAGAGGGGCTGGGGTTCAGCCAGGCATGCAGGTGGCCCTGAGTTCCATTCCTGCCACTGCAGACGAGGAAGAGAAACCCCAGAGGCCTCTGGCAAGGCCTCTTGTCTGCCTGCCCCGTCGGGTGACGCCTGTGGCGTTTGGCCCGTTTAGGCTGACAGCGCCCCCAGCCCCGGGGGGGGCGGGCGCTGCACCTCGGCTTCCCTTAGGTGTCTAGCCCTGCACCAGGTGCTGGGTGGGGGTGTTTGGGAAGAGCATCTGGAGGGGCTGGGCTACTGCCCTTCCCACGGATCCCCCACATCCATCCCCTTTTTGCGTTCCAGCTCACCAACCACCAGGAGCTGTGGGCCTTCATCGTGACCAACCTGGCCAGCGTGTATATCCGGGAAGGAAACAGACACCAAGAGGTAGTAGGTGCCACGCTTCGTGTCTGCCTTCTTCCCTCGTCCGGCCCCGAGGCTGTGCCTACGCGGCCAGCCCATGCACCCCGCGCCCTCGCCACCTCTGGCCCATAGAAATGGCAACTCCCCAGATGCCAGGACTTGGGCCGGCTGGGAGGGCATCGGGGCAGTGCGCCTATTCTCTGCCACCCGGACCTGAGGGACGCACACATCCGGCCAGGGGCCCTGCACCCGCGCAGCCCGCGCCGGGCACACTTGCCTTCCGCGAAAGGCAGCCGCTCTGACTCGCACTTTCCACCCTTAGCTGTACAGCCTGCTGGAGAGGATCAACCCTGACCACAGCTTTCCTGTGAGGTGAGCAGCCCCGGGCCCCCACTTCTGCGGAGGGGCCCCCGCCCCTATGCCAGCCGCCGCCTGGGCCCCGCGGCTCTGGGGCGCCGTCCCACATCGCTCTTCTGCCCCCAGCTCGCACTGCCTGCGCGCGGCTGCCTTCTACGTGCGCGGCCTCTTCTCCTTCTTCCAGGGCCGCTACAACGAGGCCAAGTGAGTGCAGGCGCTCGCAGGCGAGGGGGAGGGCGGGGGGAAGCGGGGGGGGGGGTGTGCCTGGCCCAGGGCTGTGACTCGGTGCTCCCGTCCCCGCCGCCCTGCCACCCCCTCCCTGAGTGTGGCGGCATCCCCTCCCCGCCAGACGCTTTCTGCGGGAGACTCTGAAGATGTCCAATGCGGAGGACCTGAACCGCCTCACGGCCTGCTCGCTCGTGCTCCTGGGCCACATCTTCTACGTGCTGGGCAACCACAGGGTGAGTGCCCGCCGGCCGGGCCGGGCGCGGGGCACCCCCAGCCTCCCACAGACCCTGCTCGTGTGGCAGACCATTCTCCCTTAGAGTCGTGGCTCAGGACTGCCCGGCAGGCTCTGCCCACTGAGCCCCTGCCCCAGCCCCTCAGCCACTGTTGGTTGACAGGAGAGTAACAACATGGTGGTGCCCGCCATGCAGCTGGCCAGCAAGATCCCAGACATGTCGGTGCAGCTGTGGTCGTCCGCCCTGCTCAGAGGTTAGTGCACAGCCCGCGGGGTGCCCAGCGCCACAGGGCCTGCAGGGTCTCGCGGGCAGGGCCCAGGTGCCCGGGGCTCCGGGTGCCCAGTGGGGAGCTGGCGGGGACACGTTCCTGGGCTTGACCCGCCAAAAGCTGGCTGTGGAGGCGCGGCCGAGCTGGTAGAGAGCTAGCCTTAAACGAAGAAGCAAAGCAAGAGCACGAGGCCCCGAGCTGCAGCCCAGAACCAACCCGGGGGCCGCGGTGTCCCCCCAGACCTGAACAAGGCGTGCGGGAACGCCATGGACGCCCACGAGGCGGCGCAGATGCACCAGAACTTCTCGCAGCAGCTGCTCCAGGACCACATCGAGGCCTGCAGCCTCCCCGAGCACAACCTTATCACGGTGCGCCCCTCCGCCCCGCGCCCTGCCCTGCCCGAGGGGACTGGGGGGGGGCTGGGGACCCCACCTCACCTGCTGTTCCCCCACAGTGGACAGACGGCCCGCCCCCGGTGCAGTTCCAGGCCCAGAACGGCCCCAACACCAGCCTGGCCAGCCTCCTGTGAGCCGCCGGCGCCCTGCGCCCCCCAACACCCTCTGTGCTCCTGAGGGCCGCCGCAGGCGTGTGCACTGACTTCCGGGCGCCCTCCACGTGGGGCCGGGAGCCCAGCTGCTGGCTCCAGCGACCCCCAGGCCACTTCACCTGCCCCGCCACACGCCAGCTTTCCAGAGGAAGAAGCCACGGCTGCCCGAGCCGCTGAGGCCCCTTCCTCCCCACCCCGGAGCCGGAGCGGGAGCCAGGCAGTGTTGGTGTTGCTGACCTGCAGTCTTGCCATGGTGTGGACTTCACCCGGCTCAAGGTGTGCGGTGACACCCCGAGATCTGAACCCCGGACCTCTCCCCAGCAGCCCCCGCTGCAGAGGACGCTGGGGGACCAGGAGGAGGTGGCTCTGACTGCAGGGCTCCGAGCAGAAGGGGGCCAGAACCCCCGATGGTGCTGCCCTTCCGTGGGTCTCCCGAGAGGCGGCCCGTGGTGGCTCCCCTGCAGAGCAGGGCCGAGGCAGCCGACGCCCGGCGGGGCGGGGCCTGGGGCCGAGCCCAGGTCTTGATAGCTTTGCACAGTGAGCGACGTGGGGTCTCCACAGGGGACACTGGGGACACTGGCGGCACAGACCAGCCGCCACCACTAGGCCTCGGTGTGCCTCCCTGGGCGGGCCGCTGCCCGCGGCCAGCACCACGGGCTGGGACAGCGGTGCGGGCAGCGGGGCTGGGGGTCCTCGCCCAACCCCGGAAGAGCCTGGCGCTGCCCACGGGGAGGAGGTCGGGTGGCGCTGGTCCCGGAGCCGGGCAGAGACCCCGGCCTGCCCCATCCGCCCCACCGCTGCATCTGCCCCAATCATGTCGTCCATCATGTCTCGCTCCGCCTATTTATTGAAGACTTCGCTTAGAGGGCATTGTATTTGTAGAGCAGTTGAACAAGAGCCTCAACTCTAACATCTGTCCTGATGTGTACCTGCTGGTGGTGACCTCTGCCGTGCACACGTGTGAACGCGCCCTCTCCACAATGATGCGTTCACTGCTCGGCGGCCCCTTTCCTCCCGAGGGTTGTGGGAGTCACGTGGGGCCACGGCGCGCGTCTGGGCACGCTGGAGCCCACCTCAGCCCAGCCGGCTTGCGTGGGCGGTGGTTGTTTCCCCTTGTGTTGACTGAGTCACAGGCCCCGGCACTATTCCAGCAGGACACTCGCAGGCCCTGCCAGCGAAGGCCAGGCAGTGGGCACACTCTGCCCTGGGCTCACAGTGCTACCCATCACTTGGGGTCCAGGCAGTGTGGTCCAGAAGATTCTGGGTGTCCTCCTGCAGGTCCTAGGGAGTCCGGGTACAAACACTGTCCTCAAGGGTCAAATTCCTGCCATAGTGTCCCGGAAGTGTATCACTACTCTTCATCCCTCTGTGCAGCCAGGCCCCTGGCCTGTCCTCTCCCACCATGGCCAGCAGGGGGCAGGGTGGACTAGCAAGTGCCAAGCAGGCAGGACTGTCCCCCGGGAGAGCTGCTTGGAAAGCTGGGCCTGGCATGGCTGATCACAGGACGGGGTTCCCTGGGTACCCAGCTACTCCACAGACCTCTGGAAAGGGACGCATCCACGGCCTACGGTGTTGGTGAGGGAAGAGCACACACAGTCCCTTTGTGGGAGGGTCCGGGCTGGGAACCAGGTCCCCGCCCCTGATGCCCAGGCCATGCCCCTCATACCAGATACAGTCCATAGCTGCTGTTCCTGCTTCCCTTCTGGGTTTGCAGCCGGTAGGACCACAGCGTGGCCTCCTGGGCTGTCCCAGGATGAGGGAGTGCGGACAATTTCACTCAGGAGAGGAAGGTCATGTCCCCAGTGGCACTCCAGGCCTCTCACGCCCTAGCCTGTCACATGGTGGCTCACGCCTGTCTTCCCATCTGCTCAGGAGACAGATCTGAGAGTCGAGGTTCAAAGCCAGCCTCGACAGTAAAGTCTGAGACTGATAGCCAATGAACCACTGGGAAACCGGGAGTGGCGCTGTGGCTCAAGTGGTAGAGCGCTCGCCTTGAGCTGAAGAGCTGAGGGACAGTGCCCAGGCCCAGAGTTCAGGCCCACAACTGATGTACACACACACAAAAGTAATTGTGTGTGTGTGTGTATACAGTCAGTCCTGGGGCTTGAACTCAGTGTGGGTGCTACCCCCATCTTTTGTGCTCAAGGTTAGCATTCTGCCACTTCAGCCACCCACCACTTCTAGCTTTGGGGGCTAATTGGAGATAGTCAAACCTTTTCTACCTTGTTTGACACTGAACTAGAGTCTTCAGATCTCATCTGAGTAGCTGGGATTACAGCTGTTAGCCACCAGTGTCCTGAGAAAGTAGCACTTTATTCGCCAGGTTCCACAGCTTTTTTATGATGGCTGATTCCTGGAAGTGGCGCTGTAGCTCAAGTGGTAGAGCGCTCGCCTTGAGCCTAAGAGCTGAGGGACCCAGATCAAGGCCCATGACCTACAAAAAAGATTGTCCATTCCTGATGGGGTCCTCTCCAGCAGCCTCACCCCTTCCTGGGAAGGTAAAGGAGGCAGGAGGCAGGGAAGGGCAGAGGTGAGATGACGGGAACAATGTTTCTTTTCATCTGGTTTGATTTGCTAGGCCAGGACCCTGTCCAGGGTGGACAAAATAGCTCATGAATACTGGGGAGATGGGTCTGTGGACGGGAGTTCCAGGCTAGCCATGATTGAGGAGTGAGACCCTGAATCAAAAAAACAAGAAGCCGGTGCTGGCCGCTCACGCTTGTCATCCTAGCTACTCAGGAGGCTGAGATCGGAGGATCGGCGGTTGAGACCAGCCCAGGCAGGAAAGTCTGTGAGACTTCTCCAGTTAACCACCAGAAAACCAGAAGTGGTGCTGTGGCTCAAGTGGTAGTGATCGCCTTGAGCTGGAGAACTCAGGGACAGTGCCCGGGCCCAGAGTTCAAGCCCCATGACCAACACCACAAAAAGTCCATGGAACTGTGATCTCCAGTTAACTACCAAAAAGCTAGAAGTGGAGATATGGCTCAAGTGGTAGAGCACTAACTGAGCAAAAAAAGCACAGTGATGTGCTCAGACCCTAAGTTAAAGCCCCAGCACTGGACTGGCATCAACGAGAGAGAGCTGGACACTGGTGGCTCACACCTATAATCCTAGCTACTCAGGATGCTGAGACCTGAGGATCGTGGTTCAAAACCAGCCAGGGGAAGAAAATACACGAGACCTGTATCTCCAATTAACTACCAGAAAATCAAAAGTGGCACTATGTCTCGAAGTGGTAGAGCATTAGCCATGAGCAGAAGAGCCCGGGCCTGTAATCCTAGCTACTCAGGAGGCTGAGATCTGAGGATCACTGATAAAAGCCAGCCCAGGCAAGAAGATCTGTGAGACTCATCTCTAATAAACCACCAGAAAACTGGAAGTAGTGCTGTGGTTCATGTGGTAGAGCATGCACCTTGAGCTGAAGAGCTGATGGACAGCGCCCAGGCCCAGAGTTTAAGCCCCCACAACTGACAAAGCCACCAGTGTTCAGTCATGGGGTTTCTATGAGGATCATCTGTTAACTCTCAGAGCCCCCCTGTAAGCACCATAGTCTAATTACCTTCCCCCATTCTTGCAGTGGGGATTAGATTTCCACACGGGGTCCTGGGAGGCACTCTGCCTGGCCCCATGTAACTCAGAGCCCAAACTTGAGAGTCACACGGTGCGAGTCCTGGCAGGGCAAAGTCCCCCGTCACAGTCTTCTCTGTGGAGCGGGCTGCTTCACCTCCCCATGCCTTGTCACCCAAGCATACCCCCTGTGGGCCAGACTCCGTCCACACAGCCCATACCCTGAGGACAAGGTCATAGCAGTCCGGCCCTGCTGTTTCAGCCCTCATCCCACAAGTCCTGCCTAAGTTACCCAGAGGGGGAGCTCTAAGCCAGGCACTGGTGGCTTCTGCCTGTAATCCCAGCTGCTCTCCAGCTCAGATCTGAGGATCACCAGTTCACACAAAAACAACCAAAGAAGGTGAGCCAGCCTATGGTTGGTTCTAGGCAAAAATGATGGTCTAGTCTTTTTTTTTTTTTTTTTTGTCAGTCATGGGGCTTGAACCCTGGGCCTGGGTGCTGTCCCTCAGCTCTTCAGCTCCAGGAGAATGCTCTACCACTTGAGCCACAGCACCACATCCGGTTTTCTGGTAGTTCATTAGAGATAAGAGTCTCACAGACTTTCCTGCCTGGGCTGGCTTTGAACCGTAAGCCTCTGATCTCAGCCTTCTGAGTACCTAGGATGACAGGTGTGAGCCACCGTCTCCTGGCTAGGTCTAGTCTTTTATGATTTGCACTTGGCCCTGTAGAAATACACAGGTCTTTAATGATGATTCAAATTTATCATGGTACAAAAGTGTACTCACACAAAACCATTCTGTTTTTCACTTTTTGTATAATAGACACTAAATTCTGGGATCTGGGCATGGTTTTACCTTCCTGTAATCTCAAGTTTGGAGGCAGGATCCCTCATAATTGGACGCCAGGCTGGGTTACCTTGTAAGACCCTGTTTGAAAAATAAAATGAGGGCTGGGAAGGTGGCTCAGTGGTAGAGCGCTTGCCTCGCATGCATGCGGCCCCCAATTTGATGCCTCAGCACCACATCCACAGAAAAAGCTGGAAGTGTCGCTGTGGCTCAAGTGGTAGAACACTAGCCTTGAGCTGAAGAGCTGAGGGACAGCGCCCAGGCCCAGAGTTCAGGCCCCACGACCAACCAAATAAACCCATGAGATGATCAGCCCTTTATCATTACTTATTGATTAACTGATTTTTCTCACTTGGCCTTTTCTGCTTAAAGCTGGCCCTCTGCCACTGGAGCCACTGCTCCACTTCTGGATTTTCCTGGTTCATTGGAGGTAAAAGTCTCATGGGCTTTCCCATGCCAGGCTGGCTTCACACCCCTCCTCAGATCTCAGCCTTTGGAGTAGCTGGGATTACAGTCGTGAGACCCCAGTGCCTAGCTTTGTCAGTTATTTGACAGATACTCAGGTTGCTCAAACAAATCTCCAGTTACCTGCTGGACTCTGGAGAAGGAGGCCGGAATGAGGGCGGATGGATGCGGTGAGTTTGGACTCTGGCATGAAACAGAAGTGGCTTAGAAGAAGTTAACCAAAGCGGCTTCGAGCCCAGATCTCAATCTCCCGAGTAGCTGGGATTATAGGCGTGAGCCACTGGGGCCCTGGATAGACGCTTTTCGTGTAGCACCTTTTCCTTTTGCTATTATTAACCAGCCGTCCGTCCGTCCGTCCTCACTTCCAGAGGCCTTCCTGAATCCACGGAGAACTCCCAACTGTCCATCAGGAGGGCTCGGCGGCCACTCGCTGTCCTGGCTGCCTCCTGCAGGCCTGGCTCTCTTCCCGTTTCCCTATTTGGTTGTGAATGTTACTCAGCCAGTTTGCCCACATGACTTCCCAGACCCCGGAAGGGCCACGCCTTGGTGGAAGGCATCGAGTGAGAGATGCAGTCCCCAGCACCACATGGTCCCTGGCGCCCTAATTTACTTATCTGTTTGCTTGTTTGTGCCAGTTCTGAAGTTTGAACTCAGAGCCTGGCCAGGGCGGGGGGTGGGGGGGTACGGCACGGGGAAGCATCTATTGCTTGTTTTACTGTGTCAGTTGTGGGGCTTGAACTCAGGGCCTGGGCACTGTCCTTAAACTTTTGCAGTCAAGGCTAGAACTCTACCACTT